GGGCATCTTCCCAGCGTAAGCGTAATATATCAATCAACGACTGAACTATGTTGAAAATAATATGATTCATCATTTATCCATCTATCGGCTGGAATTGTAAGTAAATGTTCTGTCAGCTGTCATCCGTCATAATGTTTTGTGCCCTGAGCGCCCTAGGTGGTCCAATCGGCAGTCGATTTGAATTGTACTAGATCGATGCAGATTTCTGTACTGATATTAGGCTTCGAAAAATTGAAGAGCTCTGCATTGAATTTTCAAGATGGCGTAATTAATTTATGATTTCTTCACCGTAGTGACATCTTGCGAGAAGGTCAGCGTCAAAATGTGGAGGCCCGTCTTAAAATACAATATTGTTTAGATGTATCGAGTAACATTGAAAATACGTTATAAAGTAACATCGATTTTATGTGATTCCTGATATATTTATACAATATTTACTATCAACATTACATTGTAATATTTAAAAGAGGCACAAAAGGCTATTCCCGCAACGTATCTGTGACATTATGCATCTCTCTGAATAACATCACAAAGTAACAATGTAATATAACATTTATGTTTAAGTTATGTTTTCATGTTTAGTGGGATATTTCTGTTCTCATCCGATGTATAGTCAATGTATCTTGCATGTAACTTCAAATTTCCGCCTCCCTGAATCTGTCCCTTATATATCTGACATATGTTGAGCGTTTTCGAAGTAACATTGCATACATGTCTCAGATACATTATAAGTAACGAATTTGTTCTTATAATGATTGTTAAATGAATGTTACAGAGTAATATATGTGAGATGAATCCAAAATAATGTACTTGATCATTTCGAGAAATATACAGGAATTTGAGTGTCGACAGCCATATTGAGAACTTTGTTATTATTGAAGATACAAAATCGTTCAAATCAACAAACTATCAGTAGGTACATAGGTATTTCTGACTATAGAAGAAAATTTCTCATTATATGTTACAAAAAACGCGATACTCAAATGTCTATTTTTTCTTTCACCATAAAGAGCATTGAAAATACTGCTAGTTTGATGATTCAAACAATTTTGTATATTCAATTATCCTGAATACTTAGGTTGTAGTTACCTCCTCGTTTTTAGTGTTTCATGTCTGATTGGTTTCAGTGCCTAGTCCTAGAGAAATGGAAATCATGGTTTCTAGATTGAAAATCGATGAAAATCATTTGAAATTCAAGTTTTAAATACATCACTGAGAAAACATCATATCTATATGTTAATAGAGACAAAATATTGAAGATACAAATTTTATTATCAATTTGAAATGATCCAGCATTTCTGACACCAAAATAGAAGAATAGGTACTTCTGAGGAAATGATAGGTAAATTGAGTGGTAAATCACCTATATTCATATGCTTATTTCTAGCTAATTCTATATCAGTTGTATATCCAGGAATGTTTTCTCTTTTGAGAAAAGCACTGCACATACTATATATATATATAGCACTCTTGACACACCAAAATGGTTTATAATATCTCGGTGGAACTTTGACCACACACTATTGATAGGTACACCTTCGTGTACCTACTTTGGAAAATGCACTTGAAAGTGTAGTGGAATATGGAAAGTTCTATTGTTTGGTGACCCAAAATCTTCTGTCAAAGAATGTTTCCTTCTTTCATGATTTTGGATTTATTAATCCATCCATATTGTCCCTAAAAGTCACAAATGAACACCATTACTTTCAACATCCATTTGAGCACATTCTTCAGGTTCAGTTGTGAGAGAACAGCTGATGATACTTACATGGATAAACAGACATTGGAAATTGCACATGGAAGTGTCATGGAATATTCGATGACCCAGAAGTCTTCCAAACTGATCTTGTTAGTCACAGATAAAAACATCATTCTAAACCCCATTGGGCATCTTCTTCAGGTTCAGCTTCTTTGGAGTGGCTTGTGGTACTTACATAGATAAATGCACATGAGCAGTGTGATCATGTTGAGACAGACTTTTTTCTGAAAAAATGTGTGAGACAAACATGCAAAGCATAACATTACCTTCAAAGGAAACTAACATGAAGTAACTCCTATGGAACAGAACGTTTCACTGTTATGAATATGTTGGTGATTTCAGAAATAATCTTGTATAGTTTCGAGACATTAGTGAAACTCGCGATTTTGTTTCCTTTACCATACATGTATAATTCAACTGAACAATCTTTTTTCATGGCATTGGAAGCATCATATATGTATATGATATGTTTCCTGTTATGTAACCACCTGAACAAGAAAAATATATTGCATGAAATGTGATAGCTTTGTAGCAGATATGTTCATGGTGATGTATCTTCGGAACCCTGATGACCTCCATTTGCCATATGGCAGACATATGTGTGTTTGCTGGGTTTGCATAGAGGTATGTTCAATCTGATGTGCATGTAGCGTGTTTGAATGATCTTCAACATTTTTCAACGTTTTCGTGGCGTTTTTGTGACGTCTTTGTAACGTTTTTTCGATTCAGGTTTTTTTTTCTAGTCATTCTGCATATGTCTTTTAGATCTTTCATTCGACTCTGACTATTTGTACTACCCTGTATATTATGATTTTGATTTCCTCATTATCATATGTCATCTGCCATACGCCATTTCCCTTAAGTCTGTTATACCTGATCGTTTGCTTCCGGCTACGTTTGGAGCACCGGAAATATCATCACGATATCTTCAAAATGTTATAGTGGTCTCTGATTGGTCGGCTGAGTCACGTTTTTCAACCCGGAAGGTGGAGAGGGGGGGGTGATCTATAGATTTTTTGAGCAATCCGTTCCGTATAGGTTTTTATAATAAAAAAGTGTTTGCTTTCGGTGAGGTTTGAAGCACCAGGAGTATCACCAAAGGTATACATCAACTATCAAGCGTTATCTGTCATATGTCAAATGTCAATCGTATCTCTCATACGGCATATGTTATATATCGTATTCGGCAAGGATGATAGCTCTATGAGTCGTATAATGGGACAGTATACAATATCATGAGAGCCGAACATGGCTGTTTGATTTCAGTGAGGTTACAATCACCAGGATATGAGCTATTGAGCAAATTCGATAGGATGTAAGCATGAACCGCACTCTTGGACACACCCTGTATGCCTCTGAAGTTTTCCATTTTTGAACAATGAACGGAATATAAACAACTGGAAGGGACCTTCTGTGAACGACGAGTGAGGCAAAAATATTTGTCAGGCAACCCGCAGTGTTTACGGATACCTATCTCTCTCTATCTTATGTTCGCTAATGGGAAGCGCATAATTTGGAATATTTTCTCGTTTTTTGCTTTTATTTAAGAGTAGACGTGATTAAATGGAAATATTCATATAGGAAAAAGGATAATGTTGCAATCGATTATCATTAAAAAATTATTATTGATTTTTGTATTGAACTAAAAATGAATGAATAGGAAGTCAAATGAATACAAAATGGAAATTATATATTTTCATTCAAATGTCACAATATATTGTACAGGGTGAGCAAAGCACAATGTCTTAGCACTATCAGAAGAAAAAGAAAAACGATAGGAAAAATGAAAAATTTGAAGAAGTTCTTGAATGTTATTGACTACCATTGAGGTCCATTTTGAGCATGATTTCTATAGGTTCCCATTTTACCATTAAGTCACTGCCTATACAAACATAGCCCTATTGGAAATTGAAAAAATACAATTCTCAATACAATATCCTTCTCCAAAGGAACAGTTTGGGTTTCTTCATTGATGAATTTTGAAACTGGGGAGCTGGAAGTCATAGGTAAAGTCCATAATATGAGAAACATCTTCCTTAGGACCCAATGTCATGAACTTCCACAGAGGCATCCTGAAAATGAATTAATAGCTAGTTTTTTATTTAAAAGAGGTGCAAACATACTTTTTTTTTCATTATTAATCAACTAGGTACCCATGAGTTTTCTTATTTTCCTTCAAGGATCAGTATTTTTTGGAAAAAAATGCTTGGGAAATGGAAATGTACTGGGTACAGCATCTGGTTCCAAGAACCTAGTAGTACCTGGTATGTCTAAATAAATAATCAGTTCGCAGGAAATGCTCTCCACAAAGCTTGCTGGTTTTAGATGGAGTCCAACTCTCTCTACGAACTGACTAAATCCATAATTCAAGAATGTCTGAATGGAAAACTGCAACAAATAATATTACTCAATATGTGTATGGAAAAGTCATTGAAGTATTCAACTTTGACAAATATTATAGGTATAGTTCTTCATTTCAAGAACTATATTTTCCAAAAATCTGAACAATATTCAACTCACCCATGGAATGACAATTTCCTTTTGTCTTGCTCGTTCTTGCATGTGCTTGCATCCAAAGGTGACACAATAAATCACATTGTTTATCAAAACCTTCTCAACTATATCAGTTCACAGTGTTTACACCAACAAATTCAGTCCTTTTTAATAAACAAAACACGCCAAATGAATAGATATTTCACATTATATTACGGCGCCTCGTCCTTTGAGATCACTAGGTAGTAGCGTGTTTGAGCGTCATTTGATCACATACTTAAAAGAAAGAAGAAGAAAAATTCTTCTCCGGTTTGTACATAACCTCACACTTCATTGTCGTTTTTGTGCGTCGTTAAATTCACATGCTTTTTTGTTCCTTTATAATATTCAATAATTTATTTTATGTTTTAGATTATAGAAAATGGGCCGTTCAAGAGAAAAACGCTCTCGCTCGCGATCGCGTTCTAGATCTCGATCAAGTAGGTAAGATCGAAAAAAGAGTGAAGAGTTTGGAAAAGACAATCAAAGATCAACAGAGAATTATCTTGAAGACTCTCCAGAGAAACCAATTTAGAGCAAGTAGCTCACGGTCTCATGGGACACGTAGTCCTAGTACTTCACTTCCAGAAGCAAAGTCTAAGTCTCACAGGACAGGTATTCCTGATATTCTAGAGCCAGAAACGAAAACAACAAGGACTTGTAAGAGTCCTGATAATGTTTTTTCAAACAATTTCAGTGAGACAGCAGTATGTCAGAGAAGAGAGATGAGGCAGAACCACTCATAGTAGAAGCAATGGTCCACCAAGTAGACCCAGCTCTAGGTTCACCACAACGGGCTGGAGATGAAGAGGTTCTTCAGATAGAACTTGACAAGGAGACACTTGACGCCTTAGGAGAAGATCCTTCTTTGGCAAATGCAGAAGCAGTTCAGCTACACTCAGCTATATGTACTCGCTGGAAACCCATAATAGCTTCAGGGCTAGAAAAATCTGCTAGTGCTGAACTAGGTATTAAGTATATGCCCCCTAAGAACTGCCCAGTAAACCAGAGTTTATTCCTGGGAAGTCGCGAATAATTAACAACAGGAATACAACTTCCAATGCGATGTTCAAAAAACTGTACCCAGTAATTCCTGGCGACTTTCGAATGTCCGCGACCCTGAAGATCCCACGTAAATCCATGAAACGTTGCAACAAACCATTTTTTCGAAGTTCAACGAGATTTTAAGAAATATCCACTTTGTGAGTTCCTGTATCTTACTGAAACTAACATTATTTTGCATTACACTTCCATGTTCAACGGAATTTCTTCGTATGACATTTTTGCGAGTTCACTCAAGGAATGCTGTGGGATGTTACAGTGATAACATATATCATTTCAAATTTATGTCTGCATTATAAAATTCCATAGGAATTCCAAATTGATATACTTTCCACTCTTGTGGTTCTTTTTGAGTACCAGCTTTGATCATTGATGCACTTTTAATTGTTGTAAAACATATATTTTTCATAAAAACAACACTCTCACAAAAACAAAATCAAAAATATCAACACACATGTGATTTCAATAATTCATATCACTGATAGCATAGCATACATATGTTCCAAAAACAGCTTGCTTTCATTAGCGAGAGATTTTATTACACTGGACACTTGTATGAAAGTTCATCTGCCCAGACAGCACTGGATATTCATAGAATATTCTCTAAATATGCTAAAAAGGAATATTCATCGATTATTCCTAGAATATATACATGCCTCTGGAACATCTAAAAGGAATATTCCAAAGTGAATAGTCGGACATGTTCTGGGAATATTCAGGTAAGAATCTTCCAGGAATATTCCCAACTGAACATTCTCTGTTGTATATTCATGAAATATACCCAACTGAATATTCTGTGCGGTATATTCATGAAATATACCCAACTGAATATTCTGTGCGGTATATTCATGAAATATTCTCAACTGAATATTCTGTGGTGTATATTCATGAAATATTCCATGAATATTCCTATGTTTCCCAACACATAAATACCATTTATTATTCCAGAGATGTGAGTATCGAACATCAATTAGATGTAGGGGGATTTTGAAACAAAAAGTGTTTATGATCCGATTTCGAACAATGCTCTCACAAGAACTTGATATGTATAACATTATTCAATTCGATTACTGGCCTAGTGGTCAAGGCGTTGCTCCAAAACACCGAGGAACCGACAACTAGCAGACCACCGCAACCTCCTCTTTCGTCTAACCCACCATCCTCAGACGAAGAGGAGGCATCAGCAAAGCAATCACAAAAGTAAAGCTGTAACATCTAGGAAACCAAAGGCCAAAAACGTGAACTCTCAGCCACCACAAACAAAAAAAGGTGAAAAACCCCCACCCATCATCTTTGACGGCATCCTGAGAGACCGAAAGGAAATCATCCCCCTCATTGAGTCTCTCACAGTGAAAAAATTCTATTTCAAGTATGGAAATGGAAGCACCTTGCTATACACGGAATCTACTGAGGATTTCGAAAATGTCAAAAGGAGGCTCAAGGAAGACGAGGTATCCTTCTATACATATGCCCTCAAGAAGGACAAAACACACGCATTCGTGCTGAGGGGCCTGGACTTTGAGCCTGAGCCCTCCGAGATCATTGGAGAAATGGAACAAGAACATAAAATCAAGGTCAAGGAGGTCTACAGGCTTAACACGCGGTATAGGCCTCTCTACCTGGTATTAGTAGACCCGATTGTTACTCTTCGGCTACTAAGTGATAAAGTGAGGACTTTATTGTCAGTCAGGATCACTTGGGAGCTCAGGAGGAACAATCGGGCAGTCACACAGTGTAAACGCTGTCAGCTGTGGGGTCACGCCACCAGCAACTGTAATCGAGATTACAAATGTTTGAAATGTGCAGGTGGCCACCCCACGGCTGACTGCAAATTACCCAACCAAGAGCCAGCGAAATGCGCGAACTGTGGTGAAGCCCATCCGGCCAACTACAGTTCGTGCATTAGCTACATAAAGAGGCTGGAAGTCATCAATAAAAATGAAAACAAGCGGCCAGGTGGACAGACCTATACCGCAGCCCCGCCCCCCATCACGAATGCTTGGGAAAGAAGGAGGATGGAAAGGGAGGCCATGCTATTAGAACTAGGACAGCAGGAGGATTCCACTGGTGCCCCGGAGCAGAACAGAGAGGCCAGACAGCCCAGTAGAAGAGGAGCGCCTGCACGCCCCACCACAAGCGCGCAGAGAGGACCTGGGGTTGGCAGAGGAATAGAGACGATAACGAGTATCGCCGCAGAGACAGAGCTCCTAGAGCAAAAGGTAAATCTCGCTGAGGTGTTCAGATGCGTGCGGGACCTGAACGACGCGATCGGAGGGGAAACAAACCCTTGGGAGATAGTTGAAATAGTGACCAGGTTCTCTAAGAATATCGGTAACTACAATATTAATGGTACGAATCGGCCTTAAGGTATGTATGATTAACATTAACGGCCTCAATAACAAGATGCCGTCACTTGTTCATTTTATATACCGCCGCAGGTTGGACATTATACTTTTGTCCGAGACCAAGCTCCATCATGATCATGAATTCAGAGTAAGAGGCTTTACCACGGTCAGGGTCGATCGGCCTAATACAGATAGATGGGGGGAGTAGCCATTCTAATTAAGAACAATATCCCCCACACCGTTGTCCCACCAAGGCAAACCTCAATCGAGCATGCAGGGGTGAGACTGCGGAGTGGTGAGATTATTTTCTCAGTGTACAACAGGCCCAGAAATAAGCTCACTGAACAAGACCTGGAGGCACTGGTTAGTGCTGGCAATAAGGTGATAATCGGGGGCGATTTTAATGCGCGACATGCGGACTGGGGGAACCAGGTCACGAACAACTACAACGGGCGTACGTTGAAGGCATATCTGCAAGCCGCCAATGTCAACCTGGACTTCCCTAACACTCCCACGCACTATCCCATCAATGGAATGACACCGACAGTTATAGACATAGTGCTGTCCAAAAACATGGTGGACATCTCTGAGCTAGAGGTGGTGGACGAGCTGAGCTCTGACCATCTGCCAGTTTTATTCGAGTTCGGACAAAAACCACCTGAAATCATTAAGAAAATATATGATTACAAGAACACAAACTGGCGGATGTTCAGAGCTCAGCTCGACCAAAGAACCACAATTAAAAGTTACATCCTGAAGACAGAGATGAATCAAGAAATGGAAAAGCTCATCCAAAGCATCACGATGGCCAGAGATGCCACCACGCGACTGGTCAGCATTGACTCCAACAAGGACGAACTCCCGGAGGAAGTTCTTGAACTCATAGCAGAAAAGAAGGTCCTGAGGCGTCGCTGGCAACGGCTTAAAACCCCGGAAACCAGAGGCGCCTTCAAAAGAATTTGTAATGAAATTGAAAACCAAATTCGTGAGTTCAGGAACTCCTCCTGGAGAGCCAAGCTGGAGAGTCTGGACCCTCGCGACAAAACTCTATGGAAAATGACAAAAAGGTTAAAGAATAAATTCACACCCATACCTACCCTGGAGTATGGGCGCGAGGAAGCGGTGTCAGATCTGGAGAAGGCGATAGTGCTTGGGAAACACTTTCAAAAAATCTCTAAAATTGACAAAAGGCCAATAGGTGCGGTCCAGGAGGACATGGTGGCAACAGCAGAGCAGATAAGATCATCGCCGGACATCCTGCTCCCGCGACAAGCCCTGGGGAAAAGCATTACATCTCCAAAAGAAATCAATGAAATCATTAGGTATATGAATATCAACAAAGCCCCAGGGCCTGATGGACTTGACGTGGTTCTCTTAAAAAACATGTCGCGCAAAGCAATTGTACAACTATATTACATTATGAACGCTATCATCAAATGCCAGCACTACCCAGAATGCCTCAAGACTGGGCTTGTGGTACCTATCCCAAAACAGGGCAAGGACCCTAAGTCCACCAATGGCTACCGCCCCATATCACTGCTTAGCGCCGTGGCCAAGGTCGTGGATAGAGTCCTCTTACGACTCATCACACACCACACTAATAAGCTGGACCTCATACCAAAGGAACAGTTCGGGTTCCGCAAGGGGCACAGCACAGTGTCCCAAGTGGCCCGAATTGTTCACGAGGTTAAAGAGGCCAGCAACAACAACAAGAACACCGTCATGGTCATGATGGACGTAGAGAAGGCATTCGACACCGTCTGGCACGAGGGTCTAATGTCCAAACTGCATAAGGCAAGAATGCCGATTTTTATCATTAAGATTATCGATGCATATATCAGCAACAGGAAAATCCGGGTCAAGGTCAACGAAAGTATATCGGGAGATTTTCCACTCGATGCAGGTGTTCCGCAGGGGTCGTGCCTTTCACCTCTGTTATATACCCTATACACGCATTTCCCTGTATTCGAGCGGACGAGTACAGCATTGTATGCCGACGATACGGCAATATATGCTCACTCAGACGACTCGAATATCGCCAGGGCACAGATCCAGATTCATCTGGAGAGGGGAATCATACCGTACTTTGACGAGTCAAAGATCTGCATAAACAGCGCAAAGACTGAGGTCATCAATTTCCACAAAAAAGTCAACAACTCCCGACTGAGCAGACCTTTGACCGTGAAAGGGGTTGAGGTGGCAGACACGACCACCGTGAAATACCTGGGAGTCAAATTGGACACCCGTTTGAGTCTGAGAAAGAATACAAACTACCTCATCCAGAAAACCCAAAATGCCATCTAAAAGATGTACCACTTGATATCCAGGACCTCAGCTCTCTCGCAGGAGAATAAGGTCCTGGTATACAAGCAGGTCATTAGGCCAGTGATGACATACGCGTGTCCAGTGTTCTGCAGCATCTCACCTACTCATATGAATAGGTTACAGGTGCTGCAGAATAAAGTACTCCGTATTATCACTAATGGTGATTGATACTCTCGGGTGGCAGATCTCCACGAGAGATGTGGTAATTTGCCGAGAATCGACGAATACATCTTGAAAATCTCT